AAGGCACGCTACGTGGCTAGAGGTTTCAGTCAGCGCGAGGGGGTTGACTTCTTTCAGACCTTCTCCCCCACCCCGAAGATGACCACTCTTCGGGTGCTGCTGCACATAGCCGTTCAGCGCGACTACGAGCTTCACTCACTTGACTTCAGCACTGCTTTCCTGCAGGGCAGCCTGCACGAGGAGATCTGGCTGCGCCGCCCTCCTGGCTTCACTGGGTCGGTTCCTCCTGGTACCCAGTGGAGGCTTCAGCGGCCGGTCTACGGTCTCCGCCAGGCACCGCGTGAGTGGCACGACACACTGAGGACGACACTTGCGGCTCTTGGGTTCGCTCCCTCTACTGCTGACCCGTCACTGTTTCTACGCACAGACACCTCACTGCCGCCGTTCTACATCCTCGTGTACGTCGACGACTTGGTCTTTGCCACTGCTGACACCGCGGCACTTGCCCACGTGAAGTCGGAGCTGCAGAGGAGACACACGTGCACAGACCTGGGTGAACTGACAAGCTATCTTGGCTTGCGGATCACCCGGGACAGAGCACGGCGCACCATCACCTTGACTCAGTCACACATGGTGCAGCAGGTTCTCCAGCGCTTTGGCTTCACGTACTCCTCGCCTCAGTCCACTCCTCTGCCTACCGGTCACTCGCTCTCAGCTCTGCCTTCGGATGAGTCCGTAGAGCCGAGTGGCCCGTATCCAGAGCTTGTGGGCTGCCTCATGTACCTGATGACCTGCACTCGACCTGACCTTGCATACCCTCTTAGCATCCTTGCACGCTATGTCGCTCCTGGCCGTCACAGGAAGGAGCACATGGATGCCGCTAAGAGGGTGTTGCGCTACTTGTGCAGTACGTCGGGCATGGGGCTAGTGCTTGGAGGGCGAGACCGAGTTGTACTTACTGGACACTCAGACGCTTCTTGGGCGGACGACCAGGCTACACAGCGGTCGTCTCAGGGTTACACCTTCAGCCTTGGCTCCAGCTCAGTTTCTTGGCGTTCTACACGCTCTTCTTCTGTTCTCAGCTCCAGTTGTGAGGCTGAGATCTACGCCACAGCCATGGCTGCCCAGGAGCTACGCTGGCTGACCTACCTGCTGACCGACTTGGGTGAGCGGCCTCGTTCTCCTCCAGTGCTGTACGTCGACAACCAGGCTGCCATTGCCTTGTGTGAGGAGCACAGACTGGAGCACATAACGAAGCACATCGCCCTGCGGTACTTCCTTGCTCGAGAGCTGCAGCAGCGCGGTCAGCTTTGTCTGCGTTACGTGGCCACTGAGGCCAACCTTGCTGATGTGTTCACCAAGGCGCTTCCGCCTTGTGACCATCAGCGCTTCTGCACTCTGCTAGGCCTTGTGCCTACTGGGCCTCACTTACTTACCTCTTGACCTTGCTTGTACTGTGATCACTATATATATATCTACCTGCATGTTTACTCTTGCTAGGTTGTGATCACTGTATCTCATGCTCTGTTATAAACCTGCATGTGAACTGGTCTTGTGACCACTAGCTTGTGCTCGGAATTTGTGTGGTATCCTTGAGATCCACCCTGAGCTTGTTGTTGCCTTGCTTTGCCTTGACTGGTCTTGTGACCCCTAGGTCTCCCCCACTTTGCCTATGGGGGTGTGTCAAACATTATATGTGTTGTGTTTGTGTAGGCTGTAGTGGGTTAGCCTATAGGGGGGTCACAACATTAGGGTTTCATATTTGTACTCACAATCCTTTCTAGTTCACCATTCCAGTCCGTTATCACTGACAGCACAGAGCCAGCACAGCTTGCTTAGCCATGTCTACGCCGAGCAAACGCTGTCGCGAAAGTGAAGATGAGAAACTAGATTGGGTTGGCGAATGGGAGAATACGGTTACACCTGCTCCGCGTTTGTCGGCATGTACTCTACAAAAAATTCTATGCCACAATCCATGCCCTAAACTAGGTTTTCCCCATGCATGCGCGCTCGCCATTGCACGGGGAATGAGTAATGCTACTTGAGGCATTGTTTCTTGTGAAAAACAATGCTGAACCATTTCTGCGGAGGCGGGAAGACTGTCCCCCCTTCCTCATTGTCTCAGCAGCTACCCGCAGTTCACAACCCAGGAGCCCCGCACGTGCCAATTTTGGTGGGGTACAAGAGACTTTCTACGGTTTTGTTGGATCTACAGCGGTGCAACTTCGGTTCATCGTTTAGTTTGCGTCGGCATAAAGTTGCGGCTTATACAGTAACAATTCCGACTATGACGAGTCTGTTTTGGATAAGGCTTTGCTGACGCGTCAAAAAGCAGTGCGACTTCATCCCTGTGGTGTGACACTCGAATGTGACAGCGCGGATGTGCCTTGTGACTGGTATGGCACTCAATCGTGAAGTTCGCAAGTTACTTCGCTTTAGTTTCGCCAATACGCATGTGCGAAACGACACCACGGCAGTGCAGGGTTGGTGTGCAGGATGCACCTCTCACCCTCGCTGCTATTCAAACTCCACCCACGGCTCAGCTCTTCATTTCCTCCCGTTCATTCCATGCTCTGCTTTTCTCAGCTTGTGAGTTGCTCTGGCAGAGTGCGCTTTCTTCCTAATGTATACGATACTGAGTCCACTGCCTTATTTCTGTTCGTCTTACTCCATCCCTCCTTCAGGATATGGAAAGTCTGCCGTTGCTGCATGAATATCGGAATGACCGTACGGCCTCACGCTCTACACTCGCCGCACCTTTTAGGTGCGAATTAAGAAGGTTTCTGTTTCGCACTAACACGAGCGTGTGGGATCATATGTCTGTACAGAGACAGACCTTCGTATAACATCAACACGAGATTATCGACTTGCAAGGCCATCATTATCGCTAAGCGTCCGAGCCTTTTGTTGCTGGAGTTGATATTTTGGTGTTTGCTGGAGTTTATTTATGCATTTACTGCAAATCGTTCCCGGTCACATCATCACGCGACGTGAAAGTTATGCCGCTATTTGGGATGCTTTTGCAACGTCCTACTCTGCTAACCTAACCTAACTCCGCTCTGTGTGTTGGTGCTCTGTGCAGAATTCTTCCCATTTGAACTAAGGGTTGGTTACCAACTGTTACTGTGGTGCCCTGTGCAGGTGTAATGTAAGCATGTACATGAAGAACTTGTGTTTTAATTTCCCACTCTGCGCCAGTATGTATTGTACTGATAGTATACATATAATCTCTTGTAACAATATGTTAAGTATAAAAAATTGAATGGAAATTTTATCATGGTAACTATTCTGCTCCGTTACAACTAGCTTATTAAAAGTTTATAGCTGTTGTAGCAAGGGTGGGCAATGCTGCCGCTAAGCCCATACACTCCTTGCCGAGCCTGCGGCAGATTATTCACACATTCTTTCCAGATTGCTCACGCACTCGTTGCCGAGCCTGCAGAAGTTCGCCCATACAAACCTTGTGATGAAACATCAAACAACCCTGTACTATTGAGCAATGCACATGATAAACCACAAGCATTGGTGCCTCGAAGGTACTTTTAGCAAACCCTGTGCATTGCACAAACAAAGTTCGGGCTGAAATTTTTTTGTAGAGTAGCGAGTTTACTGGAGGGCGGCTGATTTCGCTGAGTTGACCCCACATTTACAGCACTGTCGAAGGCCCAAGATTCCAGAAATCGTCGGCACTTCCAACTCTGAACATATTGTTCTGGACCAGATTGTACTAGCGTTTGTACTGTGGGCTGGTGGGGCTTGGTTCCAACCCCGAATTCGAAGTTGGCGAGGCGCAATCTGGAGCAGTGAATTTTGGGCTACGTGGACTGCGCAAACATTTCGTGTGGGTGGATAATGGAACCTGAAAAGAACACAGATGGACGTATCGCACCGCATGTTCTCACTTCGCACCCCCAGGTTCTGCTGTTTGTGTTGGCGCGATGAGGTTGGGTCTGGAACCAAAGGGGTTGCAAGGGAACTTCCGGGTGTACGGGATTGCTTTACCAAAACTGGAACGCGCACAGCGCGTGGAAGGAAACATCCCGCGCCCGCCGCTGGCATTTTTAGCGCAAATGATGCTGTGGACCGCCACCGCAGTGCCTGCAATTTGATTGAAAGGTACCTGATTCTGTGCAAAAAGATCATCCAAAGTGTTTATTTCCCCGCCTTCTTTTTTTTCGTCCCCCTAAGTTCCAAAATAACTATTTTTGTTTCGGATAATAATTTAGTTGAAATATAAAATATTAAGTAGTTACACATATTGAGCCTTGGGCAGGGTGCGATAAGGCGATATAGGTGTTTTTTATAATCCAATGAAATTATTTCTTGTTCTGGGGATGTTTGTTGACTTACGTCTATGTACAGAACCCTTCTGTGACGAGTACGCGGCCAACAGAGATTAACGCGCTGGGCACCCCTACCAAGAACACGTGTCACAATAATAGCAGTTACCAGGTTGACGGCTAGGATGTGGTGTAATCCCCTTCTACTCCCCCAGTGCAGGACCGCATGACATCACGCAGCGCTGTGTTTTGTCGTGGAACGACACTTCGCAGACGAACACTTGTTTCGTGTGATGTCGCAGCCGTTCGTGGGGTGAGGACCCTTCTTGGAAATGACCAGCGGCAAGGGTGCTCGTCAGCAGCGAGTGTAAAGGTGTTGGGCATTTCATTCTTGCTTGCCCTCGCCTCGCCCTTACCCATCACCCCATTCAACCTTTCTTGTCTAGTCACCCTCTCCGCCGCTGCGCGCACTGTCGTGCTCCTCTGTCGCTGCGCTGAGCGTGCATCGAGCATATGGGGCAGCGCTTTTTCCTGCGCTCATCGCATTCGCCTCTGTCTGTCGCTTCTTGCATTTACGGCCGTCCGACGGCGAAAACAACAAGAGCGCAACCGTATCACAACCGTTCTTGAGTCCGCTTTGCCGCTATCCGTGCTAGTGTGGCCTTTTCTATACAAAGCATTCTGCAGAAGCTCTATTACCCGCTGCTGGATTGCACGCGCACCAGCTCGCGGAATTCTAGAGCGGCGGCGTCTCGACTTGCGTGCGCTCACGGCGGCATCATGTGGTTCGTGCTGTGGCCCGTGGCGGCGGTCGTGGGCGCGTCGTGCGCGTGCGTCGGCCACGTTGTGTACACCAACAAGCTCCTGCGGCGCCAGCTGCGCGTCTTCCGCGTCGCGCTGCGCGTGTTCCTCGACTACAAGGTGCGCGGCCCCCGCGCCCCGCACTCCCGCCCCGCACGCCCCTCTCTCCTCGCTCCGCTCCGCTCCCGCCGCCGGACCGCCTCGCCGGTCCCTCCCGCTGCCATGTGCGTCACTCCCGAAAAGTGTAGCATCCATGCTTCATAGCGAGCTCGCGTGTAGTGAAGCGTGGCGTGAGTCGCCTCCGCGAGCGCCCGTGGGCGATACTTGTACGCTCCGTCCCCGCCAGGTCTTATGCCATGAATCCCTCTGGCTCCAAGGAGCCGGACCGCTACCAAACCGACCCCGTAGAGTTCAATCAATTCACCAGGAAGCATGGGTTTAGCAAGGGATCCAGGCGAGAGAAAGGTCTGGCAGTCCTGACCGCCTCTTATCATCATGAGGTGAAGGAGGAGACGTGAGCGATTTCGGTGGGAAAAGTACGTCTGGTCTCAGAAGCATCTTTCTTGAAAGCCTGATTCGAGCGGAGGTGTGATACAGTTGGATCGGATACACATGGTTTGGTTTGGAAAATTGTGGCTGGATGGGGGAAGAGAGGGATGGTGGGGAAGGCGGGTAAAGAGGGACCATGTTCCTGCGACCTGGAGGGATGAAGCCACGCGCCTAGGATCCAGGCTTGAATGCACCTCGGAGGGGAGGGAACGAGGCCCGATTGTTATGAGAATACCACTAATCCAACCATTGTATGTAGTGGGAGAGGGGATGGCCTTGGAGCGATATAGTAGAGGCAATCTTACTCTGATCGCGAAAACTTTTCGGGCATGTCTTGGATTTCGTTTGAATCACCCTGAATCTGTCAAAGCTAGCCTTGCAGTGTCGAAACCAGTACTGCTCCAGAAGAATCAACACGATTTAGAGTGACTGGTCTGTTAGAAAGACCATGCTCCTCACGCTTTGTCTGGCAAACTCACCCTGTCGCCCCGCTCTCCCCCGTTTTATCCCTCAGTTGACGCAGTACTACCTGACGTACGTGTGTGGCGCGCTGCTGCGCCAGCGCGTGGACGATGCATCGCCACGCTCCATCACCACGTGGCAGCGGGCGCACACGCGGTGTGCGCGCAGCGTGTACGCAGCGATGGTGCAGCTGGAGGGGCTGTGGGTGAAGGTGGGCCAGTACCTCTCCACGCGTGCCGACGTCATGCCTCCGCCCTACCTCGACCTGCTGCGCCTGCTGCAGGACACTCTGCCGCCCAGGGATATGTCCGAGGTGCGTGGCGGGGTGGGCTTGTGTGAGGGGGGTGGGGGACGCACGGGGGGGGAATGGTATACAGGGGAGGGATGGGGATGGGTGGGGAGGGAGGTGGGGTTATCATGGGAAGCGGGGGGGAAGGAGCATCCACTACCCGCTACCACCTCCACTACTCTCCCACGTTTTCTGTTTCCTCAACTCCTTCGCTAGTGCCTGAATGTTGTCATTTAGCTTGTGCCCCAGCTCTACCCTTATCTTGACTTGACCCCGCACGGCCACTCAACCACACACTGGCACCACCCCCTCCAAGACACCTGCACAAGGCATTTGAAGGGAACACGGCATAGCAGCAATGGTGCCTGGCTGGCAGCGTGCTGTGGATCCGGTTACTGCATGCGTGTGGCCATGCTGTGTGCACTGCACCACCCTCCCCCCACGCATCTCCCTTCCCCCCACCAGGTACTGGGCACCATAGAAGAGCAGTTGGGCAGCCCTCCCTCAGAGGCCTTTTCATCCTTCGACCATCAACCGCTCGCCACCGCCTCTGTCAGTGCTGCCTGCCTGCCTGCCTGCCTGCCTGCCTGCCTGCCTGCCCGCCCGCCCGCCCGCCCGCCCGCCCGCCCGCCCGCCCGCCCGCCCGCCCGCCTGCCTGCCTGCCTGCCTGCCTGCTCCCACTGCCACGCGCACAACCATGGCGCCATGTGTCCACCCACCACGCCTCTGCTCCCACTCGCACATGCATGCTGCTGCATGCACATGGGCTTTTGCACATGCCCAGTGCAATTAGAGTAGGAAATGTTGGGTCTCCATGCTTCCATCCTCCCAGCCTACCCGTAACCACTCACGCCCTGCCTGTTTCTTCTGCTTCTTGAATCCTCCCTTCCGCATCCGCCATGCCCCTCATTTCCTGCTTATATCCGCGTCACGCCCTATCCCTCATGGTCCACCCACCCTCCTGCTGTTGTGTCGTGTCATCCATGCATGCATGCATGTGCGCGTGTGCCTGTACGGAGCACCTGTTCGAGCATGCATGCGGCTGTCTGCTTGTCTGTCTCCCCATGCTGTGCGTGCATCATTTATGTGCAAACGGCCTTTCATGTGTGTGCAACCATTCACGTGTGTGCAATCGTCGTTCACATCACATGCGAGCGGCGGTGCAGATAGCGCAGGTGCACCGTGCAGTGCTGGCGAGTGGGCAGCAGGTGGTGGTGAAGGTGCAGCACGCGGGCATCAAAGAGAAGATCCTGCAGGTCCGTCCCCGCTCTGCACCCCTGCCGTCCTGACCTAGACCTTGGGGTGCACATGATTAGAGTCTTAGAGCCAATAGGCCATGGCATGATGGCGTGCCATGATGGGACTGACAGGGCAGCTGTGCAGGCTGGTGTGTTGGGTGGGTGCATGCGGTGTGGAGCTATGTTATCATGGGATGGTGACTCTCCCAGTGCTGGCCGAGGAGAGGGGGGAATGGTGCTTGCAGTACGTAGGTGATTATTTTGCAAGTCCAAGCCGGCACCCTCCACAGAAGTCTTTTTTTTAAGTGCTCAAAAATGCGTTCACTGTCCATCGGTCAGTCAGCAACACCTTGCGTTTCTGCTGTACATACTCCCCCACATCCCGTCCCTTGCGCACTCCCTCCCTGCACCTCCTCCTTCTCCTGCCCATTCCGCACGTCCCCCTTCCTCCTCCCCCAGGACTTCAGGAACCTGACGACGATAGTGGAGTGGCTGGCGTGGGCGGAGCCGGAGTATGATTTCAAGCCCGTGGTGGGCGAGTGGGTCAAGGAGGTGCTCAAGGAGCTCGACTTCCGCCTCGAAGCAGGTGCGCTCCAACCTTCCCCCCCCACACACACACATACACACACACCCGCTCCTACACACGCCGCTCCCATGCCCGTCGCCCACACTTGCCGCTCCCACACTTGCCGCTCCCACACTCCCTCCCCCCCTCTTCCTCTCCGGCGCGTGCTCACGCTCCCCCCTGCCTCTTTCCTCGCTCCACCGTCGGGTGCAATCACTGCATCTCACTGCCTTCACATTCCCCTCCAACGCTCCCCACTGCACCCCGCGCCCCCAAACTAGGAAAACGGGTAGAAAGCTGCAAGCTCGGTTCGACCGACCTAACTAATCTTGAGTAGTAAAAATCACTGAGTACTAGGCGAGACACGTGTAGGTAAACGTAGTGTATTAAAGGCAGATTACTAGGGGTTCAGAAATCGTACGCGCGTTTCGGCTTTTTGGGTCTTCATCGGCGTTTCCGAATCCTACTAAACTTGCCCACTACCTAACATCCACTACTTGTACCTAGCAGTTCCGTGTCTTGTAAGAAACCTAGCACAAAGATTCAGACATTGCACACAACATTGCTTGGCGCCTCGTCTGTCTTGATGGGTCGCGCTTCGTCCGTCTTGATGGGTCGCGCTTCCAAACAGTAAAGCTGGCAAGTCCCGTCTTGTCATGCAGCGGGTACCCACCTGGCAGAGAAATTGAATCACAATGCTACCTTGAGGAGAATCTCGCTTTAACCAAAAAGTTCTTTAACTTTTTTGGTAACTTCCAAGCGAGTAAAAAACGAGGAAAAGGGAGATCATATCATACGAGCTGGTTTTTGAGAATTCTCAAAAACTGCCCCATGCCCATGCCCAACGTGCGTGGGCAGCGTCTGATTTTAAGAGCAAGGGGCACTCCCATCCTCTCCAACTGCTTGTTTTTTGAACAAGAGTGGTTTCTGAGTAGCGAAGCTCTTTGTCCATGTTTGATCTTCTCAAACAGAGGGATAAGAAACTTCTGGGGATAACCTCTAGCCTTCAGCCGTTTGTAGAAGGCCACTTTCCTTTCCGAATAGGAGTGGAAAGAGGAGGACCTTAAGCAATACCTTTTCAGCTCACTCGAGATGAAACCTTTCTTACATTCCTTTGAATGAAAGGAGGAGTAAGGCAGGTAGAGGTACTGGTTATGGGGCTTTTGATAAGTCCCCACATCCAGAATGTTACTGACTTTGAACCTCTCTCCTCTCCTTTGTAAAGAGTGAGGTCAAGGAAATCAAGTGAATTCTCACTGATTTCCCAAGTCAGTTTGATAGTGTGATGAAGAGTATTGAAACTCTCCAAGTATTGTTGGAGACTTTCTTTACCCCAACCGCTCCCACACTTGCCGCTCACACACTCTCCCCCCCCTCTTCCTCTCCTGTGTGTGCGCTCGCTCACCTCTGCCTCTCTCCTCACTCCACCGGTGGGTGCATTCGCTGCACCTCACTGCCTTCACATTCCCCTCCAACGCTCCCCACTGCACCACGCGCCCCCTACCCTCCCACGTCAGCCAACCTGGAGCGCGTGGCGCGCAACTTCAAGCAGCACCAAGTGCAGGGCGGCAGCAGCACAGGGCCACGCACAAGCAGCGAGCAGTGGTGCCCTGCTGGTGGAGGCGAGTGTGCCAGCAGTGGTGCGCGCCACAGAGCGAGCGAGTGCAGTGCACCAGCTGGTGATGGAGTTCGTACAAGGCGTGCGGCTCAGCGACCATAACCCCCCCCCAAGCGCACCAGCAGTCGGTGCAATCATCCACTGCTGCCCTTCCTCACCCCATTCCCACTGCCCACCCCCCCGTGCGTCCCCGTCCCTCTCGCAGCCAACCTGGAGCGCGTGGCGCGCAACTTCCAGCAGCACGAACTGGCGGGCGGGAGTGGGGGGGAGGGGAGCAGCGGGAGCAGCGGTGCCCTGACAGTGGAGGCGAGTGTGCCGGCGGTGGTGCGCGCCACAGAGCGCGTGCTGGTGATGGAGTTCGTGCAGGGCGTGCGGCTGAGCGACCTGCCTGCGCTGGACGCCATGCACGTGGACCGGCAGGTGCTGCTCAACCGCATTGCGCGCGCGTACGCGCACCAGATCTACGTGGGGGGGTTCTTCAACGCTGACCCGCACCCAGGTGGGCTTCTGATTTGGTTTGAGCCATGTGGTGCGGAGAGGCATGGCGCGTGTGGCCATGCCATGCCGTCATGGGGTGGTAACTGTGCCGATACTGGTGAAAGCAAACCCGGCCCACGCCTCAAGCACTCAGGTGGGGGGGAGCGAGGTAGGGGGTGCTGGTGAGAGGGGCGAGGGGATGGGAAGCTGGGGATGGGAGGGTGAAGGGAAGACTGTGGGGGGGGGAGGTTGCGGAAGAGTTGGTTCATTGTTGTGTGAGTGAAAGTGAGTTGAACGGGGTTGCGAGGATGCATGGTGAGCAAGATTCATGAAAAGGCCCTCACTGCGCACTTGTGTGCACAGCATGCTGCTACTAATAGCCCTCTCCACATGACTAAGGCAAAGGCACGCTCTTACCTCTTTCACCCATCCCCCCTGTGCACTCCTCCCTCTCTCCGTCATCCCTCCGTCCCCCATGGCACCCATGCAGGCAACTTTGTGGTGAGCGATCAACCACCCCACCTGCCAGTGCTGCTGGACCTTGGGCTCACCAACGCCGTCTATGTTTTTAGGCGCCTCGGAAATAGACTTTCTCATTTATGCCCGTCTCCCCCCTGGCACCCACCCAGGCAACTTCTTGGTGAGCGACCAGCCGCCGCACCTGCCAGTGCTGCTGGACTTCGGGCTCACCAAGGCCGTCGACCATGCCAAACGCGTTGCCCTCGCCAAGATGCTGCTCGCTGCCGCTGAGGTGCGGATGAGGTGGGGAGGGAGCGAGAGGGGGAGAGAGGGAGTTGATACGAAGGACCATTCGAGACAGGACGAGAGGGAGAGGGATTTCTGTGTGAGAGGGGTTTGCGGGTCAGTTAGGTTAGGGCGCGTGATGTGCTCACCTGCTTCGTGTCCTTCCCATCTGCGACCTTGCTCTCTGCACTGCCTGCATCCCACCCCGTCACCTCTCACACATGCCAATTGCTTGTTCCCCAATGCACCTACTTCCTCCCTCACCTTCCCTGTCTGGCTCTATCACCCTGCAACCCACCCCCCCCCCTCCCCCTCCCGTCCCTCCCACCCCGCTCTTCTCCCACGCCATCCCCATGTGCATGCTTTAGGGCGACGTGGCGATGCTGCTGGGTGCGTTGAGCGAGATGGGGTTGAAGCTGCGAGTGGGCCTGCCAACCTTCACTCTCTGCACTGCCTGCATCCCGCCCCCTCCCCCCCCACACCGTTTCCCCCTCCCCCCCCACACCGTTTCCCCCTCCCCCCCCACACCGTTTCCCCCTCCTCCCCCATGTGTGTGTGCATGCTTTAGGGTGACGTGGCGATGCTACTGAGTGCGTTCAGTGAGATGGGGTTGAAGCTGCGCGTGGACCTGCCAGAGGACGCCATGGCCGTCACTGCCTTCTTCTTCCGCACTGCTGCCCCCGCGCCCGAGGCCAAGGTGGGATGGGGGGTTGGGGGAACGCACATGCCATGGGGGGCAGTAGGCAAGCGGGCAGTGTGACGGGAAGGCATGGGGCTGTGGGGGCGCTAGCTGCTGTTGCCGGTGCCGGGGTGATGGTGTGGGAGGAGAGATGAGTGGATTCGTGAGGAATTCTAGATATCAGTTGAGGCGAGTGGTTGGTCAAAGGAGCACAGGCGTGCGTGTGGATTGATTGGGTGGGGCATGGGTGCATGCTGGCTGTATTGGCCCATGTATAACACCCCGTGAAACACCTTCAGGTGTTAGATTGGACCTCGCTGTGTGATGAAGACACTCCCTGTGACTCGTTTGCTTTGTCTCGACATCTCAATGCAACGCATCCTCTTCCCCCTTCATTTCATCGTGGTAGTTGCTAGGAAAGTGGTAGAGTGCAATCACACCATGGCACCGTAGCTGGACTTCATTTGGTTGGAAATCATTCAACCTGTTCCACCATGCACTGACACGATGGGACGGTTTCTCCATCCAGAGTGCACGATAATATGCTTCCAAAGCCACCCAGTGTGCTGAGCATGGGGAGTGCAGGTGTGTGAGGTGGTGTCAAGGTGGGTGAGAGCTGGCTCATGTGTGACTCAGTCAATGGCACTGCCTCATGCGCCATTATCCTCCTTCCCCTCCACCCCCTCCTTCCCCTCCTTCCCCTCCTCCCCCTCCTTCCCCTCCTTCACCTAGTCACATTAACCTTGTCCACACACTCCGCCTCTTCAACTCGCCATAAATATATCACTTCTTCCCCACCCTTGCATGCATATCTGTGTGTGGGTGTGTGGGTGTGCATGTGCATGTGGGGAGGGCAGGCGGAGGTGGCGCGCATGAGGGAGCAGTTCAAGTCGCGCGCCAAGGAGCTGGAGCAGCAGGCCAAGGCCGCGGGGGACGACGCTGCTGTTCGCCGCAACCCGGTGAGACGAGGAGGACGGCGGCCATACGGGAGGGAGGAGTGGAGCAGGCGATTCGGGTAAAGGGCGGGAGTGAGGGTGTGACAGGAGAGGGTTGGGAGTGAGGGGGTTGGGTTGGTGAGAGGTGCACGCAACTCCCCCTCCATGTGCCCTTGCAGCTCGCTCCATGCTATCCCCTCACTCACCTCATGCGCGCACACCCCGTGTGTTCCACCACGCTCATGCCTTCCTTCTCTCACTCCCCTGCCCCCACCACACGTGCACGTGGTGAGTGTGTGATGGCAGGTGGACGCGTTCCCCGGGGAACTCATGTTCTTCTCCCGTGTGCTTGCCCTGCTCCGAGGTGCTGCCCCCACCCCCCACACCCTCCCTGCTCACGTCATGCCTCTCCTCCCTCAGCATCACCCGCACCACTTTTTGTTGCTCACTGCACGCCTCACACACAGCACGCCTCACACACAGCACATGACGTTTATTCTCGATGGCAGCAGGCGCAGCATTTATACCATGTGCTCAGTACCTCTGCTCTCACACAAACAAACCCGTCTGTCTGCCTGTGCGTTCCTTTTTAACCACACCCATGCTCGATCATACTTTCATCTAACACCACCTCCTATCCACTCCCCACTTCTGTCCTTCCCTTTGCACGTCCGTCTCCTCCGTCCTACCCCGCCCTCACGTGCCTCTCTTCTCTCTCCCTGCCTCCCGCACCCGCCCTCACGTGCACGGCCAGGCTTATCAGCGACGTTGGACGTGCACCTCTCCTACATCGACATCATGCGCCCCTTTGCTGAAGCCGTGCTCTGCGCGTATGCCCCCCTCTCAACCCTCCCTTCCCTCCCCTACCTGCTCCTCCTCACCTTCCCTGCTTATCCTTGTGCATCTAATCCATTTTGTTTCACTTGCCCCCCCACATTCCTCTTCACTGGCCCTCTTCTCCCTTTATTCCTCCACCTGCCCCTCGTTGCACACTTGCAAGCTGCTGCCAACCTTCCTCTCAACCCCCTTGTCCCCCTCTCTCCTGTGCCCGCTCTCCCCTCTCTCCCTCTCCCCATCTCACCCTCTCCCCCTTTCACCACGCATCACCCCGTTTCCCAGCGACCACCTGATAGGGCCGCAGCGCCTGCTGTCCCCGTCCCCTGACTGGGTGCGCGGGGTGTGCTCATCCCCCGCGCTGCATCGCAAGCTCTGTGCGCTGCTCGCCCAGCTGCTGCAGCAGGGCCGCCTCGTGGGCGTGCAGGTGCGTGCGGGGGGCAAGAGAGATGTGGTGTGGGGGCACGAGAGGTGGGGGTCAAGGTGGGCGCCGGAGCAAGAGCGGAGAATGGGGGTGTGCAAGAGTTGAAGGGCGAAGGGTGAAGGGGTGTGAGGATGGGTGGTGTAACCGAACACTGCAATGGAGATGCAGAGAGAGGAGAGGCAGAAATTGGGAGTGGTGGGGATTTTTTTCTTCGTGTCAGAAGCATGCTCACTCTCTTTGCAGTGTATCCATCGCAGCCCAACCCAGTTCCCAGTGTCACCTCTCGGCATGCGCCGTGTCGCCTCTTCTGGCGCACGCAGTGCACAGTGGGCATGAATGCCATGGCCACTCGTACTTGCCCGTGTGCTGTGCTGCTCCACACACTTGACAATCTCCTCAAAGCTGGCAAGCGAGTGAGAAGTAAGCCAAAGGCCTTCTCTGGTTGCACCGCTTTCCCCCCCTCCCACCCCCCTCGCCCCCCGCTTCTCCCCCACCCCATGGCCTCTGCACGCAGGTGTGTGCGTACATGGGAGGCGAGGTGGTGGTGGTCGTGGCGGTTGACCTTTGAGTCAACTCACAGCCCTTTGCCTGCCATTCTCTTTCCCCTCGTGTCCTCTGCCCCCCATGCGTCCAGGTGTGTGCGTACATGGGCGGCGAGGTGGTGGTGGACGTGGCAGCGGGGTTCCTGGGGCGCTACGACCCGCGGGCAGTGCAGCACGACTCACTCTTCTCTGTCTTCTCCGCCACCAAGGGCGTCACCTCCGGCATCATGCACTGGCTCGCTGACAACCGGTCCGTCACACCCTCCCACCCTTCCACCATGCAACTCCCTGCACCCGTTCCTTCCCAGGGATCCCCTCTAATCCCTCCCTCCCCACTGCCTGCACTTGGTAGCTCTTCCCATCTAATCCCTCAGAACCGCCCCAGCTTATGCCTTGCTCACTCTACCCTGATTTGTCCCTGGTGCATGGCGCGTCTGTGCGTGTGCATGTGAGGAGCAGGCGCGTGCAGCTGGAGGGGCGAGTGGCGGACATCTGGCCGGGCTTTGATGGCAAGGGCAAGCACCAAGTCACTGTGAGCTTGCGGGGGTGGGGCAGGACCAGGCAGTGGGGTGATAGTAGGATGGAATAGACGGCATGCTTTATGAGCCAAAGACCGTCGGACATTATGCCGATATGCTCATGCGTCATGCTCGTGTCTTGGTCTCCATGTGTGGCCTGCCCCACTGTCCCCATGCACCATGCCTCCATGACCCCAATGTTCCATGCGCCAATGCAGGTAGCAGATGTGTTGACACACCGCGCAGGGCTGCCCAACGCCATGTCCACCAAGCTCATGCTCGACCCCATGCTCATGTGCCGGTACGTGCCCACTGCATGCTCATGTGCAGCTACCAGCTACACCCACCATGCCCTCATCCATACTCCGGTGTTCCTTCCGACCCTGTGAATGAGTTCCCACTTCAAGAGAGCATCCGCATCTCCCTGCGCACACCTATCCCCCAGGTGGCAGGAGATGCTATCGCACCTGGCAGCGGAGGCACCGGAGTCCCCCCCGGGCACGGTGGAGGAGTACCACTACCTCTCCTTCGGCTGGCTCGCAGGCGGTATCATTGAGGTGCTGCCTCTCACTCACTCGTTCACTTGCACGTCAGGATTGAGCCTCCAAAGGACTCTTGCCGTTCCACCTTGCTGCTGCACGCACTTGGTCTCGTGCTCGCTGGACTCGCATTTTCCACCCACACCACTCTCTACTTCCCATACCCCTTCTTGCCATCTTCCCTTTTCACCACTCTCACGTGCTTCCAACCCTCCTTTGTCCTCCAATTACCATGCCATCCCGCATGTGCATGTGAGCGTTGCAGGCGGCAGCAGGGCAGTCGTTCCAGGCGGTGCTGGACGCAGTACTGGCCAGGCCCCTGGGCGTGCGCGGGGAGTTCTACGTTGGCATCCCTGCAGGCACGCATCTCGCCCCTCGCCCTCCCACTCTCACCGCCTCATTGCCTACACGCTGCTGCTGCTGATAATGCCGTTTGCTGCCGACAGACTCCTGCTCCCGCTCTCTCCTTCCTCCACACCTGAGAGCAAGTGCAGCACAGTCGTTACCTCGCAATTCCAGCTCTTCCTGCTGCATAACAAGCCAGGGGTTGCTGCTCGTGCACTCACCATGTGCCGCACGCCAGCACCTCACTGTCTCTTTGCTCTTTGCCATGGTGCACCCTTATGAGCATGCGTCTGCGGGTGTGCGTGGGTGGGTGGGTGTAGGGCGTGTATGGGTGTGTGTGTGGGGGGAAGGAGGGGGGAGGGGGGTGTGACTGTACGGTTGTGTGTGTGTCTGGGTGCATGGGTGTGTGTGGGGGCGGGGGGGGGGGGGGGAGTTGCATGTGTGTGTGCATGGCACGGTGCAGGAGTGGAGTCACGGCTGGCAACGCTATCCCTGGAGCGCACGGACGCACCCAACGCCGCACAGGCCACAGCCATCAGCCGTCGCCTCGCCGAGGCTGCCCGGCGGGAGGCAGCGCACAGAGAGGACGTGGAGGCGGGTGGAGAAGCCGCTGGCTCTCCCAGAGAGCACTGCGTGGATGGCGGTGCTGATGGGGGCAGGGATGAAGCAGAGGAAGAGTGGGAGCTTGTGGAGGGGCGAGGGGAGGAGAGGACGAAGGGGGGGAGCAGCAAGGATGCTGGTGCTGCTGCTGCTGCTGCTGCTGCTGCGGCAACAGCTGATTCTCATGCCGGCAGCAGCAGCAACAGCGGAGGCACGGTGCCGTCCGCTCCATCCGCAGAGGAGCTAGCGACGCGGGCAGCAGCGCTGCCTCTGCTGTTCAACTCGCTCTTCCTGCGCCGCGCTGTCATCCCCTCCGCCAACGGACACTTCTCCGCACGTGCCCTCGCGCGCTACTATGCCACCCTTGCTGCCCATGGTGTCATCCCCCCCCTCCCCTCCTCCAGCACCCCCCCTCTCGGCTCGCATGCTGCAGAGCCTGCTTCAGTGCTGCCAGGTGGCGATGGGAGTGCAGAGGAGGTGACGACACTGAGTTTCACAAGGAGGGGGCAGGGCGGGAAGAAGCAGTGGGTGGCAGGAATGGCAGAGTGGGCTTGGCAGGCACTGGGCCGTGCAAGGCAGGCTGTTGGGGCTGTCGCAGGGGGACTGGGGAGGCGCAGCGAGAGGAGCAAGAAGAGCGACGACGACGAGGACACGCATGCGGGTGCGCATGTGCAAGCGGACACATGCCATCCGTTCCTCCCCCCGCCTCACGACGCCAAGCCCGTGGCGGCGCTGCTGCCCTTGGACTCAGGCGCGGGTGAGAAGGATATCCCCAGCACGGGCCTGCCAGGGCAGCGCCTCTTCTCGTCGCCTGACATTGTGGACGCGTGCCTCGGCGTGGGGCGCTACTCGCACCTCACCCTGCCCTCCTCCTCCTTTGGCCTTGGCTTCGTGCGCTACAGGCCGCGTTCCGCCACCACTCCCACCGAGAGCCATGCGAGTCCAGCGTTGGAGCAGACAGTGGGGCAGGCCGGTGCAGGAGGGGTGGATGATGACACGCGTGGCCAGCAGACAAGCCAGGAGCATGCACCCGTGACCTCCCACCCTGTGTCAACCTCTTCTGCCTTCTTTCCCCACGACAAGTCTCACATGGCATCCACCCATCAAGCTTCCTCCCACGTGCACACCCTCCCAGATCCCTCCCCTGCGTGCCCTGAGCGGTCAGCGTTTGGGCATGCAGGGTTGGGTGGGTCCACGGCGTTTTGTGACCCGCACCACAGCTTTGCCCTCGCTGTCACAGTGAACCACCTGAGTGCGCGCCATGAGGCCACCAGCGCCATTGTCAGGCTTGTGTGCACCGAGCTGGGCGTGCCTGTGCCCATGCAGTATGACGAGCAGGGGCGTGGACCTGGGAATGTGCGCGGAAGCAGCAGTAGTGACAGTAGTGGTGGTGGGGGTGGCGCGCAGGACACACCTGATTCGTTGAATGCCTGATAATTGCCTCCTGTCCGTGTAGTTTGCTGTACATTCCCATTTCTCTGTTGCACGTCCCATGTACATCTATTTTTTAACTACCAATTTGTGATTTAGGGTGTACCACTTGACTTTGGGGGGGGAGAGGGGAGGGGCGGGGAGGGAGAGGGGAGGGGAGGCGGGTTGTATACTCAGACCGTAAGTTTCAAGCTGGAACACCATGAAGTTGCCCCACCATCACAACTTTTCCGAAGCTGACGGTGTCCAGGTGGGGCAGGGCCCCACTTTGGCCACCAAACCTGCGTTTGGCGGGCGACAGAGGTCGCCTGGATCGCATGACAAGTTTCCAGTCGGATCGACTTCGCCCCCAATAGAACCCTCCCGCCATTTTGCAGGCTGATTGTGCGATAACCGTTGTCAGAAAAAAAACCAAACGGCCACGACTGACGGTCGCTCCAGTAAAAAAATTAGCGCCACAATCAAAATACAGCAGGAAGGCAGCACTTCACCAGGTGCGGTACGGGAACATCCTGAACATCCTACATTTCGCTCAACCATCCCGTCAAACCTTGCCTTGGCGCACTACAAATTTGCAACACACAAACAACACAACCATCATAGTATTCTCTACCTCGTCTATCGTGGCTCCTAAGAAGAAACTTGCACGTGCCACCACCTCTACGCCTGAGCAGGAGGCCGTCGAATCCCGCGCTGACCCTCCGTTTGTAGCCTGGATGAAACAACAGAATGTGCCTGGAGTAAACAAGATCCGTCTCGTGGGCGTGAGTGACGAGAAGCCTAACCGTCGCCATGGTGGCTCTTCCGCGCCTGGTCCTTCGTCGAACGGCGTAGGCGTTGTGTGACTCGGACGGCTACACGGCAGCTGACGCCATCGACGACCTTGGCACGGAATCACCCTCGCTTGGCAACGCTAAAGGCAAGCGGAAAGTCGCGGATGTCAAGCCCAAGAAGCTCTACTGGACTGAAGAGGAGTTAACGGAACTCGCAGCAGTGATGTGGATGGCAAAGGAAGACATGGAGCTGTCATCCTGCATCTTTACGCTGCTCTCCTGTAGCTGGCCGGCTGACAGTAGGTTTGCCTGTACGCCTGGAGCGTAGAGGACGTCGGGGAGGAGGACTTGCTTCCCGGCCTCCCCTTGCAGGGCAATGGTGCCGTAATCTTGAACGGTCTGTAGTGCCCCATTGAAGAGGCGCACGTGCTTGACGTCGCCGCTCGGCTCCAAGTCGACGAAGGCCTCCTTCGTCCCCATCAGGTGGTGCTAGCGGAGTCGAAGGAGGAGTCGCCGAGTTCGCCTGCATGACGGCCGCCACCGCCTTGAAGTCCTCACCGGCCTACGGTGTCAGCAGACGGTCAGCTCTACGACGCCGACTAGTGAGCACGACGCCTCCCCGTCGCCTCGCCCCTTGCGACGAGAGGACGAGTCGGCGTCCTTCGCCGACGCCGTCGACTTTGTCGACTGCTTCTCCATGCGCGGCTTGCTTTCTTCTCGACGCCCTCGGCCCCCCTTCCGGTCGTCGTCGTCGGAGTCGTCGCGGTCGGGGCACTCGAAGGAGAGGTGATCGGAGTCCCCACAGACCCAACACACACACCGTTAACCACCAGCTCCTCGACCGCCATCACGAGCCGACTTCGTCTTGTCGGCGTCCTTCGCCGATTTTGCACCTCCGCTACTACCGCCGCCAGGCTTCCCGCGCTGCCCCGACCGACTTCCCTGCTTCGTCAGGGCGACGTAGTTCGCCTGTGGCAAGAGCTCCGTGGACTTCTCGGATTCCTGCATCGCCTCATCCCTAATGATATGCGAGATCAGTGTGTCCTCTTGAGCGACTCCCGCATGCCGGCATCACCATCATCCGCCGCATAAGGTTGTAGCCGCTCGGCACCCCCTTGACGATGTGCGTGATGTACGACACCGTCGAGTAGTCGACGCCGGCCATCCGCATGTTGGCAAGAAGCCGCCGATCTCGGTTGTAGTAGTCGGTCGCCGTCTCTTGCTCGTCCATCCTCAGGTGCGTCATTTTCTCCTCCAACTGGCCGATGTACAGGTCGTCAGTGACCTGGTAAGCCGCCACGCCTGGCGGTCGGCGTCCAGTCGTGACCGGCACGGCTTCAGGGCGATCTGCACCACTGGCGAGCAGCACCGTGAGATGACCATGAAGGTCAACATGTGAACGGCGCGGAACTCCGTGCGCAGCTCGGCGTTGGTCTCAGGCGACGCCTCCACGTCGTCGTCGACAAAGCACATCAGGCCGGCCATCTCCAGCTGGGGCTCGATTGACTCCTTCCACATGGGGAGGTCAAGTCGACCTACCAATGGCTCGAGGAGGAGGATTTTGTCCGGCGAGAACTTGAAGTAATCGTAAGTCGGGGCTATCCCGCCCGCTGTCACGTGGGTCGCCGATGCCAGGTCGGGAGGGGTGTTCCGCTGCCCAATGCGCGCGGATGCCTAGGAGAACCACCTCCAGGGAGAGTGCCTTCCTGAACTCGCCACCTTCGTGGCGTCCCTTCGCATCAGCCAACTGTGCCTCTAGCATCTCTTCTGCCACCGCAGGCTCTCCCGTGGTAGGAGACATGGCCTGCGCGGGATGCCGGCCTACGAACAAAATGGGAAATGTGAAGCTAAGTTGGCTACTCTAAAGGTAGGTTGCGGGGCTGACCACGCTCACCTCACCATACGGAGAACGATTCTACAACGGGAGCTTGACCACGGGGGGGAAGGCACGTGAGAGTGATCGTAGCGTTCCTTTGCGTTTGCTCGTGTTCTCTCTACGCGCACATTGACAGGGAGAATTGGCAAAAGTTTCACTAGCAAAATTTATGAACAATGGTAAAGCTTACTACATCAGATGCAAGCAAGTCGACCTCTAGCGCAGCATGGTTGACCGCCTTTCAGCACGGCAAAGTCCGCACCGCTCCAGTGCTGCAGAAGTTCGGCCTGCCAACGTTGCAAGTCGACGGCGTGCCAACGCTGCGACAAGGCGG